AATCTCCAGGAATTTCCTGAACTGGAGTTCGCATTCTAATAGCAATGCTTGAAATTGCTATTGTGATTTTTTGGTCAATTTTTGCATCATTTTAATTTAAAATGTTTCTTTTTGTATGTTAGATTCTTAACATTAGGAGAGTATCATTGAGAATAAAAATTACACAGGGAAAATGCAAGAGTCATTAATGACCTGGGAAAACCATGTATCAACCCTGCTACAATTGGTACTATTGGCATAAATAACAGAACACAGATTAATATATTTTGACTGCCCTTGATACAAATGAAATGTGTCAAGCTCGGTAGCAGAAATAACACAGTTTTGATAATGCTCTCTTAAACAATTGCTAGTATTAATGTAACATGTCCTGAGAATGATGTGAAGGTGCATTATGTTGTTTGTTATTAAAGATAAAGAGGACATGGCCTAGTCCGTGGTCAACCTGAGCATCTTAAAAGAAGAGTATATAAGTGTCATGTGCAAATTTAAAATTTATGATCAGTGCAATTTCAGAAATTTCTTGGTGAATTCAAATGCTAATCAAAGAGAGCCTGTAATGTCAGAGATCATGAAACACCATCTGAGAACCATATTTCAAAGGAAGGAGATTCTACTGTGAACCCTTATTTGGAGACTTGACATTTCACTACTCTTATGTTTGCATTGAGGAGGGAAGGCAGCATGGTATAGCTTGATCTTCTCAGATCTGAAAAGCTAAGCAGGGTTGGTACTTCGAACAGAGACCGCCAAGGAAGATTCTGCAGAGGAAGGCAGTGGCAAACCATCTCTTCCCTTGAAAGCCCCTTGCTGGGGTTGCCATAAGTTGGCTGCGACTTGATGTAACTTTATACACACACACGTGTTGTGTTATATCTTCAGTGCTACACAGTGTTAGGGCCTTTGGGCTTAGAATGTAAGGTGTATCTTATTCAAGATGCAAATTGTAAGCATGTTTAATATGGAAATACGTTATTCTGCAATAAACATGATTTACTTGTAAGTAGGTATGTTTAGGAATGGGGAAGGAGTGTGTCTTGATTGCTACTGTCCTGAAAACATACATCAAGCTTGTTTGATTTAGAAAGGGGGGGGGGGCTATGGTTTGTAAGTTGGCAATCATATAAGAAACTAGCCTCTATTATAATGTAATACAATGTGTACTTATATAAGACCTTTAAAGAAGAAAATAGGGCAGCCATCTTGTTATAATGTATCAAAGAGACTCTGGGTTTCTGAATGAGAGACCACTGAATTTTTATAATAATAGGTCACTCACATTATCTTTTTACATTGCAATGGAATTTATTTCAAAGCAGTATAACTATATATCACATTTAAATGCAACTTCCTAAGCAACATTCTATAGTATTAATGCCTACAGATTTTACCCCATTTAGCATTTATTTAGTGGTTTCTTTTTTTCCTCCCCCCCCCTTTCGTTTAGCAGGGTGTGTGGTTTCTCTCACAGGTATGCAAACGGAAATGTGAGTGAGTCTTCTAAGTCTTTCTGCTTGTTAAGACTAAAAGAAATTGAACATACTTTTAGTATATGTTAAAAAATGCAAGCACTGCTCCTCGTAGAGTCAACTTTTTAAAAATGCAAGTTGTTAGTTATACTCTAATGTTCAGATGAAAACAATGAATTTGATCCAAACTTCCACGAATTGAAAGAGTTTATGCAAGCTAGACTTGACTACAAAGCGGGCCTAACAGAAGAGCCACGCAGATTGCCAAACCAAAAGTGCACAGCTTGAAGACCTCTCCTTATCATTGATACCTCGGGGTGCTTGCCAGCCCTAAACCACCTCAACCTTTGCTCATCCTGCTTACCCAGTTAAGGCCTAACCAGCTTACACCAGGCCTATTTAAATCTCATTCCCCCCCCCCGGCCCAGGAGGAGCAGGCAAAAAAGCCCCCCCCCGGCCTATTAGAGTGGGCCCCCAGAAATTCCTGCTTGACTCCACAACCAGCTAATCCCAGTCCTTTGCTCTGCTTGTGCAGAAGAAAACATTTAACCTAATTCCACTTTTGTACTACATTCCCCCCCCCCAATGTCCTTGAACCTTAGGGAAGTCACTTTTTCCAGTCACTAAATTGCACACTTGCACAATTGTGTTCCTGTAGTTTTTAGAAATCATTTTGTAAGTGCTAATGGAGTTTATTAGAGTCAACATTGTGGTCGGAAGAGCTCAGTTAGCACTTAAAATTATTTCTGGAGGTGTACTTAGAAGATTCACAACCTTGCTTAGTATGCTCCTGTGGTTTTACTAAGGGTCAGGAAACCTTGGGGGAAGCTGTGAGAGTGCATTTGCCAAGGTCCCTAAATTTCAAGAGAGCACACTTGTGCACTCTTGGAGCACTTAGAATTTTTTTCTTCAGCGTCTGTTATCTCTGCAGAAATTGGGGGTGGGTGGGTTATAAAGAACTCTATATTAGCTTAGGCTCCTTTTCGGAAGTTATATTGAATGAGATTTGGTCACATGAACCATCCAATAGAATAGCATCTCTAAACTGATTAGACCAGATTTTGCGATTCGGTATTGGAATCTCTGTTCTCCCTATCAGAATACTTTTATCACTATGTGGCCGTCCCAGTGGGTATATACTCTGAATAAATAGCACATCCCAGGCAGTCCACTTAAAATGTATCAAGCAAAGAAAGTTTTATTCCTTGCATTTAAGAGTTATTGGCCCAACTTCAAGGAGATAACCCATGGATAGTAGCCATAAATATACCCCCCTCCCAGAAACAGATTGTTGATTTTGTGCTTAGCAGATGTGTATTGATGAAGACCAACAAAATTTCCAGGGTATAAGCTTTTGAGAGCTAAAGCTCCCTTATACCCTGGAAATCTTATTGGTCTTTAAGGTCCTACTGGACTCAAATCTAGCTCTTCTATGGCAGACCAATATGGTTACCTACCTGAAACTATCTACAAGGCTAGGACTTCTTTCCTGTGCAGTTTCATCTCTGCTGCAGAACTCAACTCTTTCTTTATGGGTGGTGGCCAAAGAGGTCCCAGGAGTCAGATGGCCTCTCTCCAGTTCTAAATGCTGGCCCTCCTCTGTCCTGGAAATAGGTTGCCAAGATAACAATTGGCTAGCAAGACCAACATTCAAAATTACATTGAAAAGGTTCCCCCCAAAACAACAATTAAGAGATCAAAATGTAGTTCATTTATACATACTATCTTCCACCATGTTTGGAATGTGATATGACAGGAACATCTACTGATTCTTGCACTTATTCTTGCTGATTCTTGGACTGATATATATTTTAAAGAGTACCTCTCCCTGTGTGATTGCACTCAACTTTCAAGGTCATCTTTAAAAGCTGTTGCTTCCATTATCAGTTATATGAAGCAGGATTTTATCAGTTGTTACCCTCTAAGGAATAACTTCCCCACACCTGGAGTTCCAGCAACATTTCTCTTTTCTTGGTTTTAGAGGCCTCTATAAGGTATTTAGCTTGATGGAATAATAGGACCCAACTTTCATTTTTGCTGCTATTCCTGCCCCCCTCCCAAATATTTATGTTTGTTTCTGTTGCTTTATGCTATAGAGGATTTGTGATAACTAAGGTTGGGAAAGGAGGAATATAAATGTTATATGTGAATAGTAATGCAGCTTGAAAATCTGTTTCCTCTTAAATGCATGCATAGTTTTTAAAGCTGCAAGTCTAATATATAGTTTGCTAATTTAATATTTTTCTTCATTAATACTTATAATGAGCGGTTTTGCTTGCTTGTCTCACACTTAGCAGCATTTAAAAGCTATTTGTCACAAAAATACATTTAACCCATTTGAGAGGGATTTATTTTGTTTTAAACTAACAAGGAACTTCCATTTCTACTTACGTTAGCATTTCAGTTTATATGAAATTACAATCTTTGGCCACAAACCACAAAACTGTAAATAGTTATTTGCACTCACAAATGTCCTGGTTTTAGTGTATGCACTAGGGGATTGTATACAACAGATAAGTATAATGCAGAATGACAAAGTGAATGTATTATACCTTGGGGAAATTTTCTGCCTAGGATGGGGTAGAACAGAGGTTTCTTTAAAGGATCATTATTTTATGTGGTTTATTTATAGACTAGCTTTCAACTAAAAAATTTCCAAGGTGGCTTGCACCTTACTTACTAAAATGCAATAAAATCATGTCAAAAAGACTAAGGTGATCTTTATGTAGTGGTGGTGTTCAGCTCAGCAGCTAAATAACAGATTTTTGATATAGACAAGTCAGCTGGTCTATCCTGCTGCCCCCTTCTTTTAGTAATATTGTCCTGCTTTTGACATTCAGCCTCTGCTTAAGTGCTTTGTTGGAGACAAGCTATCAGGTTGGCCTACTCTTCTGATAGCTCTAAAGAGAAATGTAACATTTATTAAAGAGTTTCTAGATCCCATGATCTTTTTTTGAGTAATAACATGCATCTGTTTGTGAAATTGCTGTTACTGCTGTAACACATTTCTTTGACTGGGGTATTGCTAGGAGGGCCTATGGAGCAGACCACCAACCAGGTACCATAAAAAGAGGTCATCCTTCCTTCTCATGTTTAGAATCACCCATACTTGATCTACTGAACAGAGATGAGGTGAACAGAATACCAGCTTGGAATTCTCCACTGGACTCACAGGGACTTGACCTTCTAACCACTTTAGCCCTTTTCCTTTAAATCCTATACTGTGAGATCACACCCATGCATGTCTTACACCATTTGATTGATTCTTCTTCTAGTTGAGGTATTGTGAAAATCTGAAGGAATGCTAGCTACCCCCTAACCCTTACTTAGCTGGCACCATGGAGCTTTCAGTCATGTGCCAGTTCTTCGACTTAAGCATCATTTCAGTCCTGGCGTCTTTCAGTAAGCCATCCTACCACAAGGAGTGTGACAGTAGGTTAACTGAATCTTGAAAGCTGACCAGGAAGTGTGTCAAAAGGTTTTTTTTATAATATTTCTGTTAACAATCAGCTGATTGACATTCATTTTCAGATTCAGAAGGAAATCTGTGTAAAAATTCCCAGCTGCTGAAGGTAACATTGACCATGCACAGATTTATCATCTCCTCCACTGAGATGCTGCAAAAATTAATTGATCTATATCCTTTTAAATGCTTACAGTTAATGCATAAAATACAATACCCAGAGGATTTAGAAGTGGTATGCCAACAGAATACTTGGATATCTTGGACACGACTAAACAAATTATATAACTGTTTCTGGTGGAAAGAAATTATTCTGGTGGTGTTTTCCAATATATGATTTTAACCTAATATTCAGTGCCTATGTAATAACTTGTTTTTGAACATCTGAATATTATAGAGGTGTAGGAGCTTTATTTTTTGTTTACTAATTGACAAATTTTAGCAGACAGCAGGTACCTTTTCCTGAATGAAAGATTCCTGTTTCTCTTGCAGAGTTTGCCAAAACTGCTAGTTGCTGTCACTTTCAGTCATGCTTGAATCAAGTCATTCCACAAGACTTTGTGGTTATCTTTGTTCCTTCTTCTCCAGAAGCTGCATGTAGGTCAGGCAGCTCAGCTTCTTAATACCATTTTTAACTACTGATTGAATTTGTCAACCCGTTCTTGTTAATTCTTTCTAAATAACACCAAACCTTAGAGTATATGTGAAGTATGGCACATATTTAGATGTTATTCTTTTTTGTGCTGTGAGTTTGGGAGTGGTCCTCTGGCTATCATGCTTTCTCCTCCCGCTCCTTCCATTCTCTTTAGTGTTTGAGAGATCTCATGGTAAATTCAATTTAAAAGGAGAGAACTCACAGTTACTTGAAAGCAGGATGTCTTGGTTTGCACATGTGGCACATTATCTTCTGTGCAGTGAAGGAGTGGGATGAGAGCATGTGAACTTGAGGCCTACTTATGTGCAGAACTGTGGGAATAATATTGAAACAGGCCTTATGCTCCCAACCAAAACGGTTTGGAGTTCATTTTGTTGTTCAGTCGCACAGTCGAGTCTGACTCTTCGCGACCCCATGGACTAGATCCCGCCAGGCCTTCCTGTCTTCCGCTGTCCTCTGAAGTTTGCTCAGTTTCATGTTCGTTGCATCGATGACACTGTCCAACCATCTCATCCTTTGCCGTCCCCGTCTTCTTTGACCTTCAATCTTTCCCAGCATCAGGGTCTTCTCCAGTGAGTGCTCCCTTCTCATTTGGTGGCCAAAGTATTTGAGCTTCAGTTTCATTATCTGGCCTTCCAGGGAACAGTCAGGGTTGATTTCTTTGAGGATTGACTGATTTGATCTCCTTGCAGTCCAAGGAACTCTCAAGAGTCTTCTCCAGCACCATAGTTCAAAAGAATCTATTCTTCGGCACTCGGCCTTCCTTATAGTCCAACTCTCGCAGCCATACATGACTACTGGGAATACCATTGCTTTGACCATGCGGACTTTTGTTGGCAGGGTGATGTCTCTACTTTTTATCATGCTGTTTAGGTTCGCCATCGCTTTCCTCCCAAGGAGCAGGCGTCTTTTAATTTCATGGCTGCAGTCACAGTCTGCGGTGATCTGGGATCCCAGGAACGTGAAGTCTGTCACTACTTCCACAGCTTCCCCTTCTATTTGCCAAGGAGTGATGGGGCCGGATGCCATGATCTTAGTTTTTTTGATGTTGAGCTTCAAGCCCACTTTTGCGCTCTCCTCTTTTACTCTGAGCAAGAGGCTCTTTAGGTCCTCTTCACTTTCTGCCATTAGAGTGGTATCGTCTGCATATCTGAGGTTGTTGATCTTTTCCCCAGCAATCTTAATTCCCGCTTGTGATTCATCCAGGCCAGCATTTCGCATGATGTACTCTGCATATATATTAAATAAGCAAGGTGACAGTATACATCCTTGTCGTACTCCTTTTCCTATGCTGAACCAATCAGTTGTTCCGTATCCGGTTCTAACTGTCGCTTCTTGGCCCTTATACAGGTTTCTCAAGAGACATGTGAGGTGGTCTGGTACTCCCATCTCTTTAAGGACCTGCCATAGTTTGTTGTGATCCACACAGTCAAAAGCTTTAGCATAGTCAATGAAGCAGAAGTAGATATTTTTCTGGTACTCTCTTGCTTTTTCCATAATCCAGCGAATGTTGGCAATTTGATCTCTAGTTCCTCTACCTCTTCGAAACCCCGCTTGTACTTCTGGTAGTTCTCTATCCACGTACTGTTGAAGCCTAGCTTGTAGGATCTTGAGCATGACCTTGCTAGCGTGTGATATGAGTGCAATTGTGCGATAGTTTGAACATTCCTTGGCATTGCCCTTCTTTGGGATTGGAATGTATACTGATCTTTTCCAATCCTGTGGCCACTGTTGCGTTTTCCAAATTTGCTGGCAAATAAAACACCAGATCCAGATGCTAGTCATCCTGATTTTCAATTTCTATTTAACCATCTTCTGTAATATCCTGAAATATTCCTATACAGTTCTCTTGCTTGCTGACTTGAAGTCACTGATTTGATATTGGCTGGATAAAGCAAAATAAAAGTATATTAAATAATAATTTAAAAGGTGTTGTGAGGATGTTGGAAGATAATTGGTCTCGATAATTAAGTATTTGTAGTGTACCCATTTATGTACTATTCTAAAATATAATCATTGGTGCAGACTCTAATTTTTATCACCTCCCCATCCTTTTATTCAAAATGATGTTTCATCGTATCATAAATCTCAGTTCATCCTGCCTATATATAATACTTTATTTAGTTAAATCATCTGTGTGTGTGTGTGAGTGCTGTTTCATTTTGTACATTAAAATGACCAGGAAGGACTCCATAATTTTTTCTCTGTGTCTTTAAAGCCCTTTCCAGCTATGACTCAGCATATTTTGCTGATTTCCCCCCCCCCCAAAGATATTTTAAGAAAGCCTAATGCAAGGAGGTCTGAATCAGTGGAATATTTTTGAGGGCCTATGTGGGTGGGAAGAAATACAAATTTGACCAGAAGAAAGGTTTGTTGGCTTTATTTACTACACTGGAGATAAAATGTATTTTTGTTTTGTTCAGTATTAAACTCTAAGCCTTCAAGGTAATTCTGAATGGAAGATGAAATAGCCACACTTCTCATTATTAAACCTTGGTCTTAATCCTCAAAATGTCTTTTTGACCAGAAGTCTCTTCTTACATGGGGTTTTCTGTCCATGGGGTCGCGAAGAGTCGGACTCGACTGTGCGACTGACTGTGTGACTGAACAACAACTCTTCTTACAAATGGCCCACTATACTGTGATCATGATCAATGCTCCTTCTGAGCTGTGGAGTCTTGTGAGCAAAAATTCTACTTTATGAGCTGCTGGCATTAAAGTTGTGAGCGAGCGATTTGGCTACTGCATACATTAGTTTGCTCTGGAGCCAACCTTCCTGAGCTGAGACAAAAATGTGTGAGCTGGAGGCTAAAAAACTGTGAGCTAGCTCACACTAACTCAGCTTAGAGGGAAGACTGGTCATGATCCCACCAAAGTGATGCACTTTGAGATCCTGTTACCTTTTAGCGGTATAAAGGGTCTAAAAACTTATTCTTGAAACTGCTATATTCTAATTCAGTAGCGTGGTTCCTTTCACAGAGAACTTACTGTACTGTAATTAGGAGCTAGTCACGTATTTACTGTTGGAACAAAGTGATTCTCGGAATCTTAACCATTTTCAGTTTCTGTTATATAGCAAGGATGTGTACAGAATACTTTTCTTTTTACTGCAAAGGTAACTAGTCCTCTTTACTTTGAATGGATTTAACCCAAATTAACATTTTGCTAGCACAATCAATTGTTGCAGTTGTAAGTATCAGACAATTCTGATAATACAATATTTAGAAATGTATTTACATACTATTCTCCTTTGTCCTTCTAAGATACTTTAAAATTTTTGTGAAAAAAGTTAACTGAGTAGCAAAATATTATTTTCTTAATTTCAGCAGTTTGTCCCTGTTAGGGTTTTCAGATGAGATTTTGTGAACTTTTAGTGTTCTGTAGCCTGCTGACATACTTTCCTTAACAGCTGCCTACATACCTGGATGCTTTGGAAAACAATTCTTCTTTGACTTGCCATAAGATATGCTACCTTGTAAGGTAAGAACACTTTTTTGTTTTTTATGTATGACTTAGTAAATAAAACATGAGTTGTTAAAAGTTGTTGCCATTTATTAGTATTATGAAAAAAGCAACAACACGAATACAACTCTCTTCTCCCCCTGCTTTCCAATCTTTATTGTGAGTATTATGTGAAGAGGAGGAGGAGCTCTTTCAAGAACTGCCCTTTTAATGACAGCTCTTGTCAGAACTATGGCTTGCCCAAGGTCACCCAGCAGCTGCAAGTGGAGGAGTGGGGAATCAAACCAGTTCTCCCATATTAGAGTCCGCACACTTAACCACTATACCAAGCTGGCTCTTGTGAATGTGTAGTGTTGTGAATGTCTCAGACACCTATTAGACAGCACCTATGACAATGTTGGTGCTTATACCAAGGAAAAATTCCATTGTCCACATTATTTTGTAAAGTTTTGAAGAAATTTAATGTTGTGTGTGTTAGAGGCTGCATTGGGTGTCATTGGTGCTACTGGGTCATTCATTTAGTGCAGGGACAGGCAACCATTTTAGCATGGGTGCTGAAAAAATATGTGAGTTCTACTTGTGAAGGTCTTGGCATACCAGCAAGCTAAAGAGGATGGGAAGATGAACGCTTTGTTTTGCCAAATACAGTGCATATGTTTTCACAAATCCAGTTTTTGTTTCAGCTGGAAGAATGTCATTATGAAACATCGGTGGCTTTACCTTCAATATGGTCAATTAGGAATGAACTGCAAAGGATAAAAATACCAGTGTAATATCTTGTTCTAAAGGATATATATGAAGAGGGTCTTATTGGGACATGAGGGCACAAGCTCATCTTCAAACGTTCAATCCCAGAACTACCAAATTCTAACATTAAAAAATTGCTGCTCTACAAGGGCGAACTCCTCAGAATCCTGCTGGCCTGTGCCCTGTCCAGCTGGTATTGTGGCTGTGGGTCATACCTGCTCTAAAATATACCTTGCTTTCAGGCACACCAAGCTTGTCTGTGAGTGAGTGTAGAGAGGCCGTATAGCTCCTTCTTTATGCTTCCTCCTTTGGGTAGAAGGTCAGGCCCCCTAGTGAGGGAGGAATAGTTGAAAATTGGTGTAACCTTATATATGAGTACCAGCACCTTTCTTTTTCTTTTTTACCCTCCCCCCTTGTGTATGTGAGTAATTTATACATAATATTTTACTCCTTGGTTATAGTACCTAATAAGTATTTTTAAATTACATCACAATTGAATAGAAATTTTGTTTGTACTAATGAATTAAAGATAAATTCACTTTGTAGTCACTTATGGTGTATAGTTGTAAAAATGCAAGTGAAAACCTATCTCTTGTTCCCATCAGGTACTGGATAACAGAATTCTGGATCATGTTCAAAACAGATTCTAATCTTACTAATGCTGTGGAGGAATTTCAGGAACTGGTGAGAACTAATGGTGAGGAGTTACACTGTCGCCTAATTGACACATCTCAAATGTGAGTGTCAAGGTCTTAATATGTTGGAAGAAAAACAATTTTGCAAAATGTAATACATGGTTTGTGATTACAAATAAGACTATTTCTTTGTTCCATTTAAGACAGTTCGTGACAAATTTCTATTCAAATTCTTTGAATCACTTACACCTGTGTTAGATTACAAACTCATGGGCACATCATCATGTGGCTGGCATTTTATTTATGTTTGTTTTTGTGGAATGGCTTGTCCAGTGGTTTCATAACAAATGATTTGTACCCCTGTTCT